AATTTGATTTTTGTATTTTTTTAAGTTAATTTTCTTAAATTTTACATTTGATTGTTTTAAAAAGAAAAATATATAATTTTCAATTTCATTTAATTTTTAGAATCTTATTTTATTTGTTTGTCCTTTAAATTAATTTTGTTCTTTTTTAAATTAAATTTTCTTTTAATTTCAAGTTTTTATTATTTTAAAAATAATTTTTTATTTAAAAGACAGACAGAATAACACTGAGAGATTTTAAGATAGTTGCCAGAATAGACAAGTGTCTTACGAAAGACTTTTGACTTTCGAAAGACTATGGTTTGAAATACAGTTGTCAGAATTGCCCTGTTAATCTTTGTCTGTGTTTTTATGTTTGTCTTTGCCTTTGTTGTTTCCTTTGTTTGCGTCTTTGCCTCTGTTGTTATCCATGTACGAGTATGCAACCATATACTTATCACTACCATTATCTTTGGCTTTGTCATATGGTTGTTTTTGCCTTTATCTCTCTCCGCACCCAGTAGCGTTCAATGCAGCAATTCGTATTAAACTCGATTAAGAGGTTTCACTTCAATAATTTATTTGAATTATTATGAAATTTGAATTTAAGCAGGTAGCCATCCCCCTCAAACACTTCAAAATATTTTAAATATCTAATAAAGAACTGCAAAATTCAAAATTTTCAGTAAAAATGTATTTTTCAAAAATTTCATGCATTGCTATGTCATGTCAACTCAAACAAGGTGTTCTGCCATGTCATTCCATCTCAAGAGCTTGTGTGAACAAATCCAATCTTTGGGAAAAAATGTCAGTTAAGCGGTTTTGTAGAACGACGATACGCGGTTTTATACTTTAAATGACGCACATAGGGGTATTTGAACGATTTAGGCGGCCAAAAACCAATTTGACAACATTTTGGAGAAAACTTAAAAAATTAGTCACTTTCGATAGAGAACATTCCAAATAACATTTCCCAGTCCCCCCTCACTTTTCTAAGCTGCACAGCGAACGCTCACCGTTGACCGTAAACAGAATATTCTAAAAGCCGGGTTATGGCAACTTAACCTAACTTAACGGAACGTAAAACTTAGAGAATCAAAATAAAACAGATTTCGACGTGGCATTAAGTTACGTTAAGTTTCGGCTGTTCAATTATAAGCAACACCCATTTAACAGAATTTTTAAGAGAGAGGCATAAGTTATGTTAAGTTGCCATAATCAGACCATAACGCTGCTTATAAATAAATTTTCGCTCTCTAGAAAGATCGTGACGGTTTTAAGTTAATGTTTTGATTACTGCATTATATTCTTAAAAAGTAGTGATGGAGCTGCATACAGACGGTAATAATGCATTTAAGGGTAAATTTTTTTTAATCATTTTATTAAGCAAAAGTTCAATTTAAATGTAACGAAAATAGCGGTTTTCAACGAGTATTTTTTTATAAATTTTTTTGAATATTACGGAGTTTGTTGTATTCCCGGGAGAGATCGCGTTGTTATTCTTTGTTCAATTGAAAGCTTAGAAATTTGGCTAATATAGTGTGAAAAGACTGTTCGCAGAAAATGGCAGATAAGTGGTATTTCTTAACTTAGAAAATGTATTAAGGAAAAACCTAAAAACGCAACTAGTATAAAGTAACACTACTTTAAATCTATTTTAACACTAAAATTAAACCCTCTAGATGAATTTGAGGCCGCTGAACTAGAATATGAATCCATTTAATTTAACAAATAAATAGCTTTCGAGATATTAGCAAAAGTCATGTTTTCTAGGACCTTTCGGTCCTGTTGCTAGAAATCTGCGGGAATGTAAGGCGAACCCAACTTTGATATATATTTCGGAATAAACATTTGTTTTTCTTTACATTGGTGTTATATAGGTGATGATTAAAGAAATAGTTTTGGGTATACAAGCGTTTAAATTTAGATAAATGTCAATTTAGATAAATTTACGATAATTCAGTAAATATTGTATCCAAATTGTTAAAAATTAGTAGATAAAGTAAAATTTTGGAACAAAATAGGATTATTATTAAATCCGCTTCACTAATCCGTACCAAACTCGGTATGAGCCTTGCCTAGGCTATATCTAACATAACTGCTATAAAAATTCTTGAAATCGGGCGATAACCACGCCCACTTCCCATATAACGGTAATTTACAGAAACGCGAAAACTGCGATAAATCAATAACTACTGAAGCTATTTCACTCTAAATCGATTCTTCGAATAACCTCCTAGCATTCATTAAAATTATTATAATTTTATGGATAATCGAATTAATGATTGCCAAAATTTTGTTCGCCCAAATTTTGGCGTAGAACGTGATACTCTTTCATAAAAGAGTTGAAATATTCATAAAAATAATTTTGGCCGCATAAATCGGCTAAATACCCCGATGTGCGACAATGTATTTCAATTAACTGAAGAATTAAGATCAATTTAACTTTTGTAACAGGTGGCAACCCTTCAAAATGTAGCTAAAATATAAAAAAAT